TGAGGACTTATAGTAGCATTAGTTTCAATTTTTCACAAATTGAGATGAATTAAATTAAGTATAGCAAGTATTTTTGAAACATACTTGTAACTCTCCCTAGGACAAGGGTGATTGGAGTTACCTGTCAGGCATGATCTCCCTCTAGATCCTCAGAAAGCATATATTTTTGCTGAGAAAGAGTAGACTAATATAGGTGAAACACTTAAACATCAGGCACAAAAGGCAGAGGAAGTATGCTAAGCACTTCGAACTTCAGCCCAAAAGGGATGATTAGTAGCCTTTTGTGAAGCTGAAAAGGCTTATGGGAGAAAAGTGACTTAGTATGGTGAAGCTGCTATAACAAAACTAACCATAGACATGGGTGAATTAAACAGCATCTATTCTCACACTTCTGGAGGCAGGCACTGGCAGATTAAGCATTTAGTGATGAATAGAGAACAAGTTTTCTTGCTGTACCCTCACATGGCAAAAAAGAGGGAAGACAGCACCCTGGGGTTCCTCTTATGAAGGTACTAATTTCATTCATGAATTTCTGCCCTTCTGCCCTAATCACTTCTCAAAGGCTGTACATCTGAGTACCATCCGTTTGGAGATTAGGATTTCAACATATGTGTGTTGGAGGGAGATATAAACATTCAGTCCGTGACAAGTAGGAACTTGGATGGCATTCTGATTTTGGATGGGCAGGGAGAGAGGGAAAGGCACCTTGGCAAGAGAAATAATGTAAGGGCAGAATCACCCAGCACAAGTGAGAAATAAAAACCTGTTTACAACCAAGGGCTTGTGTTGGCAATAGAGGAAGTTTGGCTCAGCAGGTGGGACAAAGTTTTAGGAGAACCTGGAGGGTGGGAGGAAGGGATTTAAAATGGATTCTTTAATGTAGAGGAGGGGAGCCATTCAGGGTTTTGTTTTGCTTTGTTTCGCTTTTTGAGACAGGGTCTCATAGTTCAGGCAGACTTTGAACTCACTAGATAGCCCAGGTTGGCCTTGAACTCACAGTGATCCTCTTGCCTCAGCTTCCTGAGTGCTGGGATTATAGGCATGCGCCCCACACTGGCTCCATGAGGGTACTTGAGCAGAAGTGTGCCATGATATTTAAAAGAATGTAATTGCTCTTGTGCGTTGAAAGACAAATGCTAAGGCACTTATTGACTGCTTTTCTTTTCTTTTAATCTTTGTGGATTCCAGTCCCCTCATCATTTACTATTTAGTGCTCAAGAATGCCGCAGCATGACACCTCCTCCCAGCCATCTCTCTTGCACTTCCCTTTCTGATGACTGGGTAAGAGCAGAGCCATGGGTGGGGTGGAGCATTCATCTAGAACATGAGACAACCTACTTCTGGAGGAGGAAGCGAACAGGAAGGCAGGAGCCTCAGCCCCAGGCTCTGGCCTCCGCTTGCACAAGCAGCAGTGAAGTTTCTCCATGTGGCGTGGTGCTAGCTCTACCCTCTAGGGAAAGCAGGCCTCATGGGAACCACGCAAGTCACAGCCACCTGGCCCTGTGATAGTGCACTGGGTGAGGCCTGGTGTAGACACACTGCTAAGGAGCAGCTTTTAGTCACATCTACCCAGAGGATGCATTTTATGCCCTACTTTTTCATCATTCTCCATTAACCAAGCAATTGCTTTCTTCTACAGTCTGACCTGAGACATGTTTGAGCCCAGGCCGCCAAGAAAGACATTCATCCTGGATATAATGTTCTGTCTATATCTCTGCACCATAGAGCATATCTCTATCCTTCCTCCCATGTTGTTTGTAAATCTTTTTTTTTTTTTTTAAGTTGGGGGTGTAAGAAGGAAAGTAAACATTTTAATTTTTGCATTTCTCCAAGCCAATTTATTAATTTTTAAAAACAAAATGCATCTAATCTGATGGAATATTTATAAAAATTGGGAGCTCATTGTCAACGAAATCACATTTATTTAATCTAGTATTAGACTGCCTCTTTTTTTTTAACCAGATGGAAAACATTAGCAGTAATAGTGAACAAACATCCAGGCTCCCAGAGGTCATTTTTAACCACCATTAACAATCTGGTTTTCACAGATTAGTAATATGCAAAAGGCAACAGTCCAGTAAAAGAGGCGCAAAAGGCAGTCAAAGCTGCTTCTGTGCTCTTTATTTACCTAATATTTAACTACTTTAAAAAACCTTTGTTAAGTGAGACATTTGAATCTTCTGAGGTTTGAATTGGCAGATTTTACTCTGGAATTGCAGTCCCTTTGCAATAGACACTGATGGCAAAATACTAATGAAACCTTCCCAAAGCTGGTGAAAAGAGAAGCTCATTATTGATGACATTAGTAGGTTTTCCTGTGGTTAATATGGTTTCATTTATTAGCAATTTGTCTGAAGCTTTCATATCCATGTAAAGCTACTAATTATAAAGTAGGAAAGAAGTGTGTTCTTACACATCATGTTTGAACTTTTAAATTTAATTATCAAGTTGAAATTTGATATAAGGTAAACAGTCCACAAAGTATACTAACAAATCAAAAAGAATCTGATCTGTAATGTGATAAGGACATGGATTCTAGAATTGCTTACTCAGAAACAAATGATCTCATTTAAATCATGTGCTGAGTAGTTGATAAAGTTGCAGACTGGTATAGTCTCATGGTGCCCTGAAGATAAATGCAGATATGCATGTTTGTTTTTACGCTTGTTCAGATTCAATATTGTGTATGGCTATGAAATATCAGTATGTTTAACAGGTTACCTGAGGCTCAGTGGGAAAAACTGGACATGATATGCATTTATCTTCATTTCAAAATATCATTATGTTTAGTTTATATATTAATGATTTGCTGTCAACCATCATGCAACTCTTCTTTCATATAATAGTGTTTTTAGGAAGTATATTTAAGTCTATACTTAAAATACTTCATAGATATTTCCTCATTATTTTCTTCTTTTTGAGACAGGGTCTCACTATGCAGTTCAGGCTGGTTGTGAACTCATTTCACATCTCAGGCTGGCCTTGAATTCACAATGATCCTCCTGCCTCAGCCTCCTGGGTGCTGGGATTACAGGCATGCACCACCACACCCAGCTATTTTCTTATTACATAGAGAAAGCTAATGTATTAAGGTGCACCTGAACCTTTAGAGCGAGGTCAGCAATTACCAAGACAAGTGGGAATGAGGTTGTGTAAATGCTATCTGGCTATTGGACAAAGTACTTGCCATTAAGGAATTTAGGGATGCAAGAGTATTATTTGCTTCCCTCACTAACTGTGCATATTTTCTGAAACATTTACATATGCATATATGTTACATAGATGTATTTAAATATACACAAGCATGCACGTGCATGTGTATGCATGCAACACTCCTGATAGTCATCAAGTAGAATGCAAAACTGCCATTTACAATAACTGTTGAGGATTTTCCTGTCCATTCATGATATTGTAGTATAGGTCACTGCTTTGGGGAGAAGTTTCATTTCCCTCTTTATAGAAATTTTTACATAGACAATGAAATCTCCCCATATTGCTACAAGTGCCCAGGGCCATTATATTCCATTTCTTGCTGAGGGAAATGAATAGTGAGGAGCGAACTGAAATGAATTCTGGTCCATGCCATAATTTAGAATTTACAACCTCCTGGGGTTCCTTTCAGTAATAACTGAAGATACTTTAATGAAGTCTTATTGTTTGTCCAACACTGTGTTAGGCACTGGTCATACAGGGGAAACAGAGCCCCTGGCTCCAAGTAACACACAACTTAGTGGGTGCCTAATGGAGTAAGTAAACAGCACTATGCCCAAGGCCTGTGAAAGGTGTTCTGGGGACACGGGAGATATCTAGCCCCTGGAAATGTGGGAGAAGTCCATCAAACCTGCTCAGAATGCCTTTATCTGTATTATGGTATCTCTTCAGACAAAACCAGAAAGCTTAATTAAATTAGGTGACTATTGCAGAAATCAGTTAGAAATTTGAAAATATAATTATCTGTTTAGCTGAATGATTGGATTTCTTTGATTTATTTAGATTTTCCTAGATAAAAATAATTTATTTAGATTATGTAGACTCAATGTCCTGTAGGTAAATACTTTTTTATGTCTTGCCATCATTCTAGCTAGCACATAAGCAAAATAGATAAGAACAACTTGTTATTCACAATACAGATGAGTTTTTTGGTTCTTTGTTTGTGTTATTGTTCCTGGGCATCGAACCCAGGGTCTCATGCATGCTAAGCATGTGCTCTGCCACTGAGCTGCACCCCTGTTGTTGCAGATTACAATTTTTATTAGTCCAAGATAAAAAGGTAAGAGATGGGCTGGGGATATAGCTCAGTGGCATAAGTGCCTGCCTGGCAAGCACAAGGTCGTGAGTTCGATCCCCAGTACTGCAAAAAAAAAAAAAAAAAAAGTAAGAGATGGCCAGCAAGCAAATAAATATTTACAAACTAACAGCCAACTTGTATCTCTATTTTAAATTGCTTTTTAAAAACAAGCTGATCAATTACTAGGCAACCCTTCCAGGCTGACTTCCAACCACAACTCTAGGCTTCCCCCCAATTTCTTTCTCACTTTTCTGCATCTTAAAGGCCAAAAAATTCTAGGAGACTTCTGGCTCTGTAGTTTTGAGGGCCTTCCAATTAAAACCAGGCTCCCTCATTTCAAGGAAGGGAGGGATGCTGATGAGATTTCTGTTAGAAAACTTAACTTGGCCCCCCTCTTTTGCCTGTTCCAGGAACTGCTTTTCTATAGGAGTTGAATAATGGTGAGGAGCCTGGAGAGGAGCTAACTTCAGGGCTCCATGCTCACAGAACTGCTATGCATAGGCCAGGCAGGCTCTGCCCTCACTTCCTGTGGCTCCCTTCTATGGTTCTGGGAATTGTAAAAGAGCATATGAGAAGTACATTGGGTTCTGAGGATTTCTAATTTCAGGTTACAGTAAGCAAATTCTTTTGCAGATATTAAAAGAAAATGAAAAGAAAAACTTTCAGAAAATAATGCATATACAACTAATATTTTTCTCTTCCTTGTTTAAAGGTGAACACACTCAAGAAACAAGTTCACCTCATTCACTCAAAAAGGATGTGGAAAATATGGGGAAAGGTAAAGTTTTAATGTTGTAGAACTTCTCTTAGCTTTAAAGGACTATGGAGATAATAAGGGGGTATTTTTGTTCTACACCATATTTTAAGCTTGACAAGCAACATATGAATAATATATGGACCATTGGGTGGATATAATTGAGATTAATGCATACATATCAATCAATACATGACACTGTAATATAATACTTTAAAATAATATATTGCATTGATTTATATTCATGGATTTCTGCACAAAATCTATCCTATGTCTATGCAACACTTTTTTAACTGGTAAAATATTTTGCCTTATAATAATAAATTGCCACATATAACAGTTCTCTGGAGAGTTATTTGTAAAGATTAGTAAAATGACGCTTCTTTTTTTCTCTATTAGAAGAACTTCAGAAGGTTTTATTTGAACAAATAGACTTACGGAGACGACTAGAGCAAGAATTTCAAGTGTTAAAAGGAAACACATCTTTCCCCGTATTCAGTAAGAAATCGCTTTTATTCCATTACATTTATGAAACTTGATGACATTTCTCTTACACTTTAAAAATGCAATTCTAAGTAGTAAGTGATTAAGTACAAAGCCCTCAGCCTTCCCATGGTCTGTCTAAATATTCATAAACTTTAGTCTCCCTTATTTATTCTTTGAATTGATTTACAGATAAAATTTCTTACCAGAACCTTTGTGTATTTATGAGTTGATATACATGTATTTGTCTGTATGGTGGTATATTTAAAATATGTATGTAAACATGTAATTAAATATGTAAATATATTTACATATTTGGATATGCCTAGATCATATACTTTAAAATAAAACAAACACCCAGGTATTCATTATTCTCTAAATTAGGCAGGAAACAAAAGAACAATTTACTTTTATTTTCAGATGGCTCTGGATAGATGCCTGGTACTTGAGATACATACAAATATGAGGACTTAAACTTGAACCATTCAGAGCACATACATCTATTTTATTATAGGTATTCCCTTATTTTGGGGGCATACATTTCAAGACCTGAATGGAAATCATAAAACCACAGATAGTATCAAACCCTATACGTATGCTATGATTTTTCTTATACAGACATACGATAAGGTTTAACTTACAAATTATACACACTAAGAGATTAACAACACTAATAATAAAAGAGAAAACTTACAATATACTATAGTAAAAGCTCTTTAAAGTTTATAAATTATTGATTTCTTCAAATTTTTGTTTAATTTTTTCAGACTGTGGTTGACCTCAGGTAACTGAAACTGATGTTGGTGAAACCAGCATGAGAGGACTACTATAATTAAACTTGGTATACTTTTAGGGGTTTATAGTCTCTAAAAGCCCATACTTAATGTTAGAATTCCATTTCAAATGTTGGAGCAAGAGATATAGCCTAAAAACTGTTGTTCTGCTTTCAAAGTCTTGGAGTTTGGGAAAGGCTTTATGGTAGATACCCAGCTTGCTAAAATTCACCTCCTCTGGACTCAGTCACACTTAGACAAATATATCCCAGTAGTGGTTTTTTTTTTTTTTTTTATCTTATTAGAGTTTAATGTAGACATATTCCCCTTTCAGAGAAGAGAAAGTGGGAAAGAAAATAATATGCAGACACTTTTAAAATTCTATAAATGAGGGCTGGGGATGTGGCTGTGTGGTAGAGCACTTGCCTACCATGTGCAAGGCCCTGAGTTCAGTCCCCAGTACCACACACACACACACACACACACACACACACACACACACACACGGACTATAGAAACATAACCATATATGTTTTTTTCTGGGGCACTTCTTTAGAAGGCTAACATGCCTCTTGTTAGTAATCTGGGTATCACAAAACTCAAGTTGACAATTCTTATACCAGAGCCATATACCTGCAACTAGAAGACATTTCAGTATTTGTGACCATTTCATTCCAATGAACTGAAGATCTGAACTCATCAGAGCTTCCCAGGGCTTATCACCAGCAAGAGCTGAAAGACGACTTTGGAGAGCATTGGGAACAGTGCCAGGTTCCCGGCAACATGGCACACTGAGTTCCACTTGCACTTAATGGGGCTCAGCCTGAAGAGGACATTATGTGATGGAAAAGAGCTCGTACTATAGGAGCAGTAGCTGACAAGTTTCTGATTTCTCCAGAACTACAAGGGAGGTTGTGGGTTCCTAGGGCTTTGGTGTTCTGAATTGAGAGAATTCTTCTGGCCTTAGATTGAAACCAGGAAATTAGCCAATAGCTTTTGATAGTGCATTTGGGAACATCATAACATTTGTAGCTTCAAGAAACATTTAAAATACCTTTGAGGCCTTAAGAAACAGTTGATTTGGCAGGGCATAGGGGCTCATCTCTGTAACCCCAGTACTTGGAAGGCTGAGGCAGAAGGATCACTGCAAGTGTAAGGTCAGCCTGGGCCACATAGTGAGTCCAAGACCAGTCTGAACTAACATAATGAGACCATGTCAAAGGAAGGAAGGAAGGAAGAACAAAAGAAAGAAAAAGAAAGAAAGAGACAGAAAGAATGAGAAAGAAAGAAAGAAAGAGAAATAAATAGGTGCTTCAACAAGATTCTCTAACTTTTAAAACTGTATCTTAGGAAAGACTGTGTCTTACAGTTCCTCCCAGTAATGAGCAACAGATGATTTGTTTTTTCACAGCTGGTGTTCATCTAACTGTTGAATTTGCAAAGCCCTGCTCCAGCAGAGGGAGTCCAAGTCCAGTCAAATCTCCAGTGTGCCCTTTTAGCGCCCCATGAAACCAGTGTAGCTGTTATTTATCCTATTAATAAAAGCTAATAATTATGTTAAGGACTTAAGTAATTCACAGTAATTTAGAAATTTCTCTTAGTGTCTGTTCTATCATACAACATGTACATATTTCTGTTTTAAAGATGTTATAGTTGGGGGCTTGGGATTTAGCTCAGCGGCAAAGCACTTGCCTGGCAAGCACAAGGTCGTGAGTTCGATTCCTGGTACCAGAAGAAAAAACTACAAAAACAAAACAAAAAAATAAAAATGTTAGAGTATTACAACTGGCCAGGTTTAATTCAGTTTTTGATCTGAATTAATATGAATCATTTGTGACTGCCACATATATGAAACATGACCATTAAACACCAACAAAAAATTTCTACTTTTCCTTTGCCTAATATGCTCTGCTGACCAAGGAAGTGGGATGTGTGTGACCAAGTTTGAATAATGCGTGGTTTAGATATACCACAAAGAGGCAGTCAATTTCACACGGATGAAAATAGCAAATGCACATTACGTGTTTGTTAACTAAATGCCAGGGGCCATGAGGCTAGTAGACAGATTGAGATTTGCTCAGATGAAATGGGGAAAACCAAACTTTGTAAAGCCACATCGGAAGGAAGCATAAATGAATCTCTGTAAGAAGTTTGTACAGCATTCTACCAGGAGGTAGACAAACTCAGTCATATTGTAAAATCCAGGTATTTAGAGCAATGGGGACCCCAGCTTTGAACTGTAGCATGTGACAATTAGGAATCTAGGCTAGAAATCTACCAGACCTGAGTTCACTGCTCCTTGATGATTGTCTCACCTTGGAAACTGTAAAATGGTTCAGATAATTCCTGTTTTGTACGATGAAAAGACTAAATGAGACAATACCTGTGAGAGGCTCTGCCTATACCCAGCACAGGATAAGTGTTCAGTAACTGTCCCAGTGATAATGGTGATTATGAGCCAGGAGAAACAAGAGAAGAGTATCAGCACTGAGCTCAAGAAAAACATTTCTAAAATTAAAACTAAATATTGGACTTTGGGGGATTCTTTTGGTTGGAAGGACTAATGAGGACTATGAGAATGAATCCTGGGCATAGAGAAGTGTATTAGTCAGCTTTTCCATTACTGAGACACAATACCTGATACCCACAACTTAAAGGAGGAGAGGTTTAATTTAGCTCACTCTTTCAGATTCAGTGCATGGTTGGTAGACTTCAAGGCAGAAACCTTGCAGCAGAAGGGTATGATGAAGCAACGCTGCTCAGGTCATGGTGGCCTGGAAGCAGAGGAGGGGAACGGCAGAGGACCTTGGATTGTACACAAGACCATACCTCCTTGGCTTACCCATACACACATCCAAGGATGTGCTGTGTGTTAAGCCATGAAGTTGATATATCAAGGTTAACAATCAAAACAAGATCCAGGTAAAATTAGAGTGTAGAGGAGGAAGAAGAGAAAGGGACAGAGAAAAGGAGAGAAGAAGAGGAGGAGGAAGAAGACAAAGAGACAAAGGAGGAGGGAAAAAGGAGAAGAATTAAAAGAGGAGAAGAAATTAAGTTCTCTCCTTGGGCTTCAGGCAAAGGTTTGGAGGAGGAGCAGGCAAATCTTATGTTGAGCCTGAGGCTTCCAGAGCTGCTGTCCATGAGCACTTCTGCCTGACCCTGATGAGAAGACACGGAAGGAGGAGAGGATCAAGACCACAGGCAGGCAGGTGTTCCCTGAGGCAAGAAGCTAGAAGTTCACAATGAGGGCTGCAAGTCTTGCACTGTCTCCCCACTACTAGCCAGGTGGTCCAAGGCAAGCTTCCTAACCTCTTTTCCAACAGTAAAGCAATACTGCTACGTGCTTCCCGAGGTTGCTGAGAGGATTACATGAGCAAACTGTTCAAAGTGCCTTGCATGGCAATGGATGCATAATGATAATAAATGTGAGTTGTTACTGTACACCATTTTAAAGTTTAATGCTCACATTCCTGCAGGGACTTTATCATAAACCAACTAGTATTAGAAATCAGAGCTTCTAGAAATTTCTTGGCTCCATCTAGTATGAATGGAACAGGCAGCAATGCTTATTTTGATGCCAGACAATAAGTGTAATTGAGAAACTGGGTAGGACTTGAGAAAAGAGGTCTGGAGAGTATCTTAAGGAAAGGCAGTAGAAATGGACTCTAGGATTAGGGGAGAATAGAAGTGGTGGGGGTGGAAGAAGAGGAGCTCTACTGTTATCAAGGTCACTTTGAGGTGACAATAGAATAGCCAAACAAACATGTTCTGCAGTGACAATCATATAGGGCTGTACAGTAGTAAGTGATTAAAGGAGACCCCGACTACCACCACTCTAAAATCCCCCACTCATGACTGATATGTTCAGTTTTGCAGCTTCAAATCCAGAAGTCATTTTGCCAACATATGTGTTTATCATATCTAGAAATCTATTTTCTCTTCCTCTCTTCTCCAATATGCTAACCCTTCCTTTATTTACTTTACTGTCTTCCCACTGGCCCTCTGTATGCCCTCAAACCTTCACCATGCATCTGCAACCTATTAACAGTAGCAGTAGATGATGGCAGTAAGTGGGTGCCCTGTGACCTCCCTTCCTCTCTCCAGCCTTTTCTGCCTGTTGCTTTTAACCCGATCTTCCTAAAACTCTTACACTTGGCAACAAATCTTCCACTCAAGAAGCTATAGCAATTTGTATTGTGCTGTAGCTATGTTAACTCCTGACTCATTCTCAAAATCCTCTGT